TCCCCTAAAGACTCAGGAAGTAGATCTACCTTGACTCCCTCCCACCCCCATTTTATTTAACATGCTCATGCTGCTATAGAAAACATACAAAGCGTCCCTTTAGGCCTCTTCTCAGAAGATGCCATTGGGCAGTGTAAGGCAAAGGTTTTGCCTGGGAATGTTACTCTAACTGACAACGCTTGCGAAGTCAAGTAGATTTTTTTTTCAGTCTACTATGGGGAAAATGGCCTAAAAGGGGGTTAAGCTTTGATTAGAGATGTTACAAGTAGAGAAAAATGCTTACTTCAGTTTAACCTCTGCTTTTCAGGAGACATGAGTATATAAATTATGTAGCAGGATGGTGATTTCAAGACAGTCTAAAAGCTGGAGGCTCTAAGCCAATTTTCAACCAACTGTCACAGAACGTAAGTTTCAAAATATGTTTAAACTAAACTGACAACTACAGGGGGAAAAAAAACCCCGTAAGAGTCTTTGAAAAGCTGGGTTATGTGAACTGATGAGGACCTCAGAAACCACACACTATTTAACACAGCGATACTTCACTGTGGCCTTCCTGCTCTTCTGGAGGGATGGGTCAGAGGAAGAACAGCTGTGTCTGTCTCTAGATGAGGATCTAAGCAGCACAGAGGCGCTGCCCAGCACAGACAAGCCAACAGAAGAGTTCATCCAAAAATTACAAGGGTGACAGGCAGGTCTCTGACCGGGTGCTCCCAAGCTGGGGCTAAGTGCCCTGGTAGAGAACCCCCGTGATTTCTTCCTTTCCACATGGCAGTAGCTGTCTTCTACCTGCTTCAGGTATCGGAGTACCCTGGAGGTACTATACTGTTGCCTTCTTACCTCATCATTTTCCAGAGAGAATGGTTCAATTCAGTGTCTAAGGTGCCAGAGAGGTTGAGTTAGAACAGACATTTCCTGAACCCCCAGTCAAAACAGCTTTATGCTAATATACTAATGGGAAGGCAAAAGCATTGGCAAATGAAGTCAGGAATCATTTACCTAGAACCTCAGGAAAGCTCTTGATTTTAGATGTTCCCACAAACCTTCATGAATCCTAGAGCAAGGCTTGTTTTCATCAGTGAGTTGCAGGTCATCTGTGAAAACCTTGATAATGGTCCACACCATTGTTCATTGAGCATGTATGTTTCCTCTGGAGGAGGTCAACCAGACTTTTCTCTTGCTCTTCAAAAGTATCTGAGAGGGCATGCCAGCACATGTCTGTAATGCTAGTACTTGCGAGGAGGAGGAAGTAGGACTAGGAATCGAAGGCTAGCTTTGGGTACATAGTGAGCTCAAGCTAGCCTGGAGTACATGAGACCCTGTCTCACAGATCAGCCAATTAACTAACCAACCAATCAACCAACCAACCAACCAATGAGCATATCTGTTATCACCCCAAGAAAGAAGCAGTGGACACAGGCAAGTGAATAAAAGGAAAAAAGTACCAGAAGGGGATGCTTGTATCGATATGCTGATAGCAAGAAACTCTTAGACATGGGTATCTGTTTTCTATCAGGTGACCAGGTCCATAGAGGTAAACTGCCCCACAATAAAAAGCTGCGTTGTTTATGTGAACATGCTGTTTGCTAGGCTACTAAAATGTAAGACTATGCTCTACTGTTTTGTCTTTAGCCACACACACACACACACACACACACACACACACACACACACACACACTTCTTGAGGTATAACATGTAGCCTATACTCTGTAAACTGAAACCAGGGCTCAAATGCCCTGAATAATTTTGGGTTGGGGGGAGATTAGCTCTGTCTCTGAATGCTGGCTTCAGAAAACAGTGGTGGGTGGGAGATGTAATGACTACTGACAGAGAACAGCAGCTTCTTTCAATTCAGCCAGGAGGCTCTGGGTTGGGGTGCAAAAGCTCATCTTTGTAACCATAGCAATCAGGCAAACACTAAAGACTCCTTCTGCCCTGGGTGCCAGTGTCAGGGGAGAAAGCTGATGGAGCCCTGAAGATGGACTGAATGGGGGTCCCATATCTATTCCATTATCTGCTGCTCCGGTGGACTGTAGAAGACAGGCCTATTCTGAACTATCTTCATGTGGGTGGAGTGACAAGCAGTAGGTTGAAAAGGAGTCTCAGTTGTGGGAAAAACTCTCAAAGAGTTAGCATGGACATGAAGTAACTTGGAAAACAGTACTATGCAGTATTTTGAAATAATATTCAATATTTATCTGGGCATCATTTTTCTAATAGAATAAAATGTAGGGTTTCCTGAGGCTGGGAGGTCATTATCACATCAGAAGCGAGGAGCTATTCTCCAAGGATCATACACACAGGCTCACTCCCCATCCCCAACCTGTGATAGGAACATCCTCGTTACACTCAGAGGTCAGTACAAGGAATGAGAAAAACATGGATCGGGCCAGCAATTTAACTCTGAGAGGCACTAGCCCAAGGGTGCACAGGCATTAATCTGGCCGTGGCACTGATGGAATTATGGGTTTAGAACAGCCTCAGAGCTGGGCTGGAAGCATCTCTTTAGGGAAAATAGTATGAAGGTAATTAGAATAAAAAGAACAGAAGAAAGCCATTTTATTAAAACAACAACAAAATCCTGAATAGAACTGTCTGCCCAGGGGACATCCAAGGCCCTTAGACGTTCACAGAACAGAAGTCCCGAGGAGGGAGGAAGCAGCCACACACAGCTTTATAAGCTCAGTGTCAGCACAGAGCTAGGTGTTCATGTGAATTCCTCCCAGGTGTCTGGCCTGGAAGAGCTCTGAGGTCCACACGACTTGTAATACTCCAGGACAAGGATCTCCAGGGAGAATTTCACAAGCATAGAACATACTTCTCCCTTGCTTTCTAGTGTTCCCAGCTATTGTTTAACCCTGAGGCTGAGCTCTTTGCAGAATGGTGGGAGGCACTGTATTAAGCTCTGCTGCAATGACAGCATCAGGAAAACAGGCCTCCCGAGGCTTTCAAACTGTGATTCTTCTCAGAGTGGAGCGGACGGGGCAGAAGGGTAGTGAGTCTTTCTTGTCTTGATAAGCGCAACACCTCTGCCCTGCACACAGCAGGCACGTCATCATACATGTTAGCTAGCGTCAACTGGCTACTTTATCCAAATATTACTGTCTTCTGGTCTTCGTTCTGTTTCTGAGAGAGAGCCAGCAGTCATAACACTCACGGGCTTTTGAGCAATCTCCTGTTGATCTGAACCCATTAATGAAAGTGACTACATGCCTAAATGTAGCAAAAATTTCCCTGATGGAAGAGTGAGAGCCGAGTATCAGTAAGCCCTTCACAAGCTATTAGCAAGAATCCACAAAAAGTTACTGTAGCCTCAGACTTCAAAAAGCAGGAAGATACCAAAATAGAACCAAGAGTGATTTTCATCACCGTGATAAACAAAGAATATGACTGTTATAAATATTAAGCTTCTGCATAATGTGCCACTCAATAATTTTGGTCACACTCTTAATATGCACCATAGGGAAGGCTAGATGCTACAGCTAAAGTACTTAGAGGACTGACAATAATGGGCAAGTCTTAATTCTCTGAAGATAATATAATTTTGTAGGTCAAAATGATGCTATGCATGTTCCTTACAGGGTGTGTTCTTTAAATACATTCCAGAAAAATGGATTTAATTGAAATTCAAGAAATACATATTGAGTGGATAAACCGAGACAAAAAAAATGGTTTAAAAAGAATAACTTTAAAAAAATTAGTAAATAGAGCTTTGAAAAAATAGAGCCAATAGAAGAACGTTAAGGCTATTTGGCGAGAGCACAGACTGTGAGAAATCATCTAGAAGCCCACTTGTGTGAGTTGAGGAAATACCCAAACCGCCGTGAGCAGCTGGTAAGATTCAGTAAGTGGATGACAGGGGAAATCCTCAGCTGAGGAAACCTTAAGACAAGAGCCTGGGCAGTCCTACAAAGCACTTTAAGTTTTAGGAGGACAGAGTTTTAACAATTTAGATAAAGAAATGGAGAAGATCCTCTAACAGAAAGCCAGGCAGGCTACAGCCAAACACAAAGGCACTTTTATGGATTAGGCCATGGTAACTCAGAAACAGATTTTAATCTAGGATATGAGCAATCTTATAAATTAGTAGGCAAGAGTCTTAGAGTCAATAAACAGCCATCAGAAAAATATCCAGCTATTTGGAAAATGACTCAGTTTGCACCTCCCATCATGGCTGTCTCTATAGAATAAGTTCCAGCAGTAGGATCAGCAATCTAAACAGAGACAACAGGGTCCTTCCATAAATGAACCAGGATGAAAATGCAGAAGAATAATCTTTTATTCCCCACTTTGGTGCTGAAGATCAGAGCCAAGGCTTAGAGCTCGCTCAATCACTAAGCTACAGCCCTGGCCCCAATAACTATTTTACTTTTCAGTATTGGGGTTTAAACCCAGAGCGTTACAGCTGTTAGACAAAACCGACTAAGCCCTTTTGAGTCTCCCTAAATTGGCCAAGCAGACCTTAAGCTTGGTATCTTTTGGCTTTAGCATTCAAAGTAGCTGGGATTATTGACATGTACCACCTACTTGGTTGCCATTGACTGATTTTAAATACAGATAAACCCCAAAAAGCTGGTGCTTTCAAATTATGAGCAGCATTTAATACTCATTGTTAGGACTCCCTTTCAAATCTGCTAACACATCCATCTCCGTTTATGAACCTTGGGGTTTGAGTGGAATGGATGGAAAAAACCCAACATTTGTAATTTATAGATTAAAAAAAACTTTATGGAATGTCTAAAAATTAAGAACTCAACATTAGGCTGGAGAGAGAGCTGAGCCATCGAAAGGCACCGTTTTGCAATTCCAGAGACCCAAGGTCTCTTGAAGTGCCCCCAGTTGCACTTCAGGGGGATCCAGCACCTGGGTCCTGCCCAAGTACCTGCACACATGTACACATATGAGATCTCACATATATACATACTAAAATAAAATCATTAAAAGTAGCATTAAAATAACATCACCCTTTGTTGAAATCTGACAATGTTGGGGAGAACTTACCTGCAGCAAATGACAGCTTTGCAGGACAAAGCTAAGTCCAGGAAATACTGCCGGACTCCGAAGGTTAAGGCATATTTGAGGGTCTTCCCATCAATTATAAGAGCAAAATCATTTTCCTTCCGAAGAGCATCTCCAAGGGTGGTGCAGTGCCGACTGAGAGTTTCCCTCGTGGCCTGGAAGATCAACCAAGGTCATCAACATTCATTCTATTTCTTCCACTACAATGTCTTCAAGGGGTTTAGGAACTAAATTTAGTTATTTTTAGCGCATGTTATCTTTTGAATTGCTTTCACAAACCTTCATTTATTCAGTTCTCACAACAGCTCCTCTAGCGGGGACAGTTAAGTCCTGTGGAAGTTACACACTGTCCACGGCAGGGCAGGGATTCGGCCACAGGCACTCATTCCTCTGTTGACCCTGCAGTTCCTTACCCAACCTCACAATCACGATACTGTAAAAGCATTTTCACTAAATTCTCTTCCTAAGGAAAAGAACAACACTGATCTACTTTATGAAAACTGGCTTGCCCTGAACCAAGGGGAAAACTTGGGGAATATAAGCTAAATAATTTACGAGTATTCCGAGAGTACTTGATGCCATTGAAGTTTAACTTCCCAGGGACCTAGAGGAGGAAATGCAGGGTTTGTAATCTACCGTAACTTCATGGTTCCAATTCATATTTTATGTTTTAGAGGGGGGGACGGAGACACGCAGCTTGGTCATCGCGATGGATCCAATGCAAAGAGCCTTCCCATCAACCAACAGCTCACTCTTCAGCAGAATAAAAACTTGCAGTATCAGGGAACGCTTTACTCATTTAGATGGCACAAGAAGAAGTTCATGTGTCCTCCACCAAGGACTGCCTGCTCAGCTCTCCAAAGGGAAAAAAGCTAAAAAAAAATTTCCCACATAAAGTATCATTTCGTATGTCTAGTTTTTCTCCAGAATCCTATACACCCTTCTTATAATGTAATGGGTCCATCCAGTTTCTGTTCCAAAGAGCCCTGACACGGAAGAAATATAACATTCACTCCACACAAGGAAACAGAAATTCCTTTTTGTTCTGAGTGCTACGTCTACGCTACTTACATAATAAAATACAGTGACATCTAATACGGTTACAGAACAGTTTGTGTCTGTCACACTCACAAAGTTATTTGTGACGGTTTAGCTTGTCAACACGGTTAGACTAAGCGACATCTGAGCGTGGCTGAGACTGTCTCAGATTACCGGTGCTCTGAGCTAATGAGTGGGTTCACGTCTTGACAGGGTCACAGCATGGCAGTGCTGCCGGGAAGCGTGAAATGAAAGAGGTGGTGCCTGTTGGTAGAGGCACCACCGGGCGTGGTGCTGTCTCATCGGGGTCTGTCCCAGTATCTGCTCTTCTCGGCTTTCTGCCCACTATGGTGTCAGCTGGTCCAACATACTCCACCCACATAATGAACTGGACCCAGGGCACTGTGAGCAAAACAAGCATGTTCTCATCCCAAGTTGGGCATTTGGTCCCAAGAATCAACGAGAAAAGTAATGGATCCATTATTGTTCCAGTATAAGGGCCTAGCCCAGTCATTTCATACTTATTTCATTTTGAGGGAAGTGATAAGGATATTAAAATCTCACATGGGAAATATTTGAAGGTGTTTTTGCATTTGTATTCAAACGCAGCCCACACTCTATCCTGTCATTTTAGAATCTGTTTATCTGGATGATACGCTATGCCATACGGTAAAGTAAGGCTGGCAACATTCCCAGCACTAGAACCTTACGATTTGATGTTTATATCTTGTTTGGCTCAAGAGGACTGAAGCAAAGGAAGTGTAGACATCTTTAAAAATTTCCCATTGAAGTTTAGTAATGGAAGTCTAAAGCATATTACCCCAGATTGTTTTAAAATTCATAGAGATTAGGTGGATAAATAAACCAATGAATGTGTGAAAAATAAAAGCAAAAATAAAATACCTAACATGTGCTGCACTTGGGGCAGTTTTAAGGGATATGTGTGTAGATGAGACACTTTTAAACATTTACTCTAACGCTGAGTCTAGATTCTTCTAGTAGTCCCAGTGTAAAGACAGAGTGCTTAAGTTTCTTGCTCAAGAATACATCGATGCGATGCTGTGGAGTAAAGTGGGCTCAGAATTAAGTTTCTGTTCTGGCTTGTCATTCTCTGCACAGTCCATCAAAAAGAAACCACAGGCAGTAAGTTGCACAAAAAGCAAGTACAACGCCACATCATTTTTCTGTTGTTTCCCTGGAGCCTTCACCGCCCTTCATCTCACGTCTTTATAAAAAAAAAGTTAAAACACAAAGTGTTCTCTTCTTGCTCTGCAATCTTTCCAAGGCCTTCAGCTACTGGTCCATTGAAGTGTAACCCCCTTAAAAGGGTATCAAGCCTTCCCACACTGAAACCTGAGGAACTTTCCTCACAGCTTTCTCCACAAGCTTGACTCTTACATGTCTCTCTTCCTAAAGTGGCAAGCTGAGCTACCAAGATCCCAAACTGCCCAGTGCAATAGAGCTTATGCCTACAAAGCCTTTAGCGCCTTCCAGGGAGTTCCAGGGCTGAACCCCAGACCACAACGTGTACAGAGCCTACACTATCACACCCTGAGAAATTCCACTGCAAACTGTCCATTTTCCTTTATTATTACACACACACACACACACACACACACACACACACACACACACACACA